GGGCTCAAAGCCTGGAACCGAGTGTGAGGACGGAGCAGTGTCCCCTGCTGTGCATGGGGTCAAACCACAGCAGCACTGAAACTTCCCTCCCAGGTGCCTCCCCCTCCCCGCTAACCACACGCCCTACCCCACAGGAGGGAGCCGGGGCAGAGCCTTTTACTCACCATCCCTGCCACAGTGCCACCTGTGGGACAAAAGAGCACTCGCTGAGGAAGTCCTTGTGACCCTCAGCCAGATTTCAAGACCCCACACCTCAAACTTGCCCCCCCAGGCGACCAAGAGAGCCTTCCTCACACCAGGGGCCACTTCTCTCTGCCACCAGTGGGCAAGAACTCTGCAGTTCTGTCAGACTTGGGGGCCCCTCCCCAACCCCCTTATCCAAGGTGACCATTCAAGCTGTCACACTTCCTTCATCAAATGGAAGACAGTCCAAAGCAGCCCGACATGTCCCTCAGGGGAGCTCCCTGAAGCCTCTGGGTCGCTTGCCCAAAGACCAGTGCCTGGCCCATGCTAGCCCGCCCGCCCACCCTCCTCTTCTCTCCTCACAGGTACACAACGGGAGCCCAGATCGCCTCAGGCCCTGGCCCAGAGCTAAGGACTCACCAAAACTGTGCCCCATGAGAGAAAAGCGATTCCACTTCAAGGCTGGAACACAGGGAACGATGTCTGTGTGAGCCTGGAGTCCCCTGACTTATCCTCCCCTTTCCTGCAGAAAGCTCTCCCAGCCTGAGAAGAGACAGCCCCCTCCCCACTACTACCCCGGTGGGGGGAACCCCCATTAGAGGCCAGCTCTTCTTGGTGGCTGTCTCCCACTTTCCCAAAGTCACCTGTCAATTCCTGACAGGTCTGGGACCACTCCTCACTGCCCACCCCCGCCCAGCCTTACTTCCTCAAGGTCAAATCCTGTTGCAGTGAGGAGAGGGGATGTCCCAGAACCCCCCTCGACACACCTTGACTCACCTGCGGAGACCCTGCGGACCTCATTCACAAAGTTTTGGTAGTAATATGGGACGCCAGGGGCATAATGGGAGGAGAGTCCGTGGCCCCCAAAATCCATGGCTACGTAGTAGAAGTCTGAGGTGGAGAGAGGGGCCAGGAGAAGGTGTCCCACCCCTGTCCCCCAGCCCCGCCCAGCCCCACTCCCCTCCTGCGCCTGGCCTTACTCTGTGGGAGAAGGGGGATAAGTCTGTCGAAGGAGTTGGCGTTGTCCAGCCAGCCGTGCAGGCAGAGAACAGGGTGGCCTTTCAGGGAGCCCCAGGTTTTGGTGGCAATGTGGCCCCAGGGCACAGCCAGTTTCAGCTCGGACAGCAGACCTGGAAAAGAGCAGTAGCCAGGCATGGACTCCACCCCAGCATGCCCAGGGAGAGAGGCAGTGGCGGCGGGACCAGTCCAGTGGGAGACGGGCCACCCCGGTGAGCTTCACAAAGTTGAGCAGGGCCACGTCGTTCTAGAACGGGCTGTGGGACCGGCCAGCGCTGGGTCTGGCCACTTGCTGGCGGGGCGGCCCTCAGCAAGTTTCTCAAGCCGTGGAGCCTCGGGTCCCTTTTCTGCAAGACGGGGCTGAGCACGGCAGGCACACTCGCCAGCGTTCTGGGGGCCTTCATCCCCCGAGGGCCCACCCTCGGTTCAAGCGGGCACTGAGGCACCAGGAGGGGCCTGCCCACGATCACCAAGGGAGAACCGGGTGGAGGAGGATTAAGCGAAAAGCCTCCCCCAACCTCCACCACCAACCCCGCCGGCCCCGGGCTCCGCGCGCCCCCACGGCCACCCAACTGACCGCGGGAC